CACTACTCCTTGACTCCATTTACATGTTTCTTATTAAATAACCACCAAATCCCTTCTCTTCTTCTCTTTCTCAGGCCGAATTCTCTGCAGCGGCAGTGTTGCACCAGGCCCGGCGGGATCAGGTGGCGGAGACGTGTCATGCCCACAGTGCGTCCAGCCGTAAACGCCGCGTCTTGACCCCCAGTGACCTCAAGCATCTGGTGGTAGACGAGGATCACGAGCTCATCTACTGTTACGTGCCCAAGGTGGCGTGCACCAACTGGAAGCGGGTCATGATGGTGCTGAGCGGCCGGGGCAAGTACAGTAACCCAATGGAGATCCCTTCCAATGAGGCCCACGTGCCCTCAAACCTCAAGACCCTCAACCAGTACAGCATCCCTGACATCAACCACCGGCTTAAGAACTACCTCAAGTTTCTCTTTGTGCGTGAGCCCTTTGAGCGATTGGTGTCGGCCTACCGCAACAAGTTCACACTCCGCTACAACACCTCCTTCCACAAACGCTACGGGACGAAGATTGTTCGGCGATATCGCAAAAATGCCACAACCGAGGCACTGCAGAGTGGTGCCGATGTGAAGTTTCAAGAGTTTGCAGAGTACCTGGTGGACCCAGGCACTCAGAGAGAAGCTCCACTCAATGAACACTGGCAGACTGTCTACTCGCTCTGCCACCCCTGCCACATCCACTACGACCTGGTGGGCAAGTATGAGACTCTGGAGGATGATGCAAACTACGTGCTCAAACTAGTAGGCGAGGGTGACTCACTGCGCTTCCCATCGTTTGCCAAATCTACCCGTACCACCGACCAAATGGCAGCCATGTTTTTCAGCAACATCAGCTCCCAGCAGCAGAGCCAGCTTTATCAACTCTACAAGCTGGACTATCTTATGTTCAACTATTCTATTCCTAGCTACCTGAAACTGCAGTAGATATCCATTTGCAGTGGCACACGCTTCCTGAGCTTGTTCAACAAGGTTGAGCAATGGGAGAAGAGCCGGGGCTCAGAGACACAGGCAGGGGAATCAACCAAGCACCTAAATGTAAAATTGTATTTATATCCGCAGGGACGGTTGCTTTATTTGGAAACGATCAAGGAGCTATCGGTCTCAAATGCACTCGAAAGTGGTCTTTTTGAGACTGAGGTCTGAAGCCCTGATGTATGTGCCCATTGAATTGTACATTTCCAGTGTAAAGGCTCTTTTTCCACAACGTCAAAAGCAATAGGACAGAATCTGAGCCATACCTGCTCAGCTGGTTTATCTATTAATATACTCAGCCAGCCGCCATTATCGAAGCTTCACAGAAAGGAGCACCTAGACTAATAATAAGACTCAAGATACAATCAGAGACTTGTTCTGACTTCAGTTCCCTTACTTCTAATTTCTTGTTCACTTTGGAAGTTTCCTCGCTTCTCTCCCATACTCAGACTGCCTTTGTGCGTGCTTTTATATGGTGCATACTTAACGGTGCACACTAAAATAAGAATGACAAAAAAAAGAGGCATTGAAAGGTGCCTTGCTGAAGGGGCGTGTTCAAATGTGAGTGACAGGCAGGGGCTTTGCCCACTGGGTCAGTCAGGGAGCATCTGTAGCAGTCAGGGGTCAGAGGTCACTGGCCTCAAACACACTGTTCCCACAACCCTTCCTCCTTTGGTTGGTCTACACTAAATTAAAAGATTTCGTTTTATTTTGTATTTGTTTGTAATGAAAAAAGGTGCTGCGAGCAGCACGTTATTGTATTATTTGCATTACTCTGTGAAATAGAGATGAAAAAGACTTCATGTTTTATTTCGAGCAAAGGAAATCAGCGAGATCTTCTGATGTTTAATTGTCATAATTTGTTCATAATTTTTCTTGCCTCATTTGCAGAACACTGTTGCTGGGATACCTCGCTGGTTGACGGGTGTACGGAAACGGGCAGGACTTTGTTTTCTGAGCTGTTCTCATGGGAAAGTTTCACACAGTGGTGTGCATCTGAGAAAGAAAGAGAGAGAAAGTGCAGGCAAATCTGTTCAATCCATTACATGATTTAAACCTCTTTTGCAATTTGAGCAGTTCAAAGGAACACCCTTTAATTTAGTCCTTTATGACCTTTATTTGCTTTGATGATGCACAAAATGTATAAAAACTGCTTATTTATGAGAACAAAGGCAACAAGTGGGTGTGTCAGAGTGCTTTATCTCACTGTCCTTTTCTGTAACAATTCTCTTGACTTTGGCTGAAGGCTTCTTTCAGCTTTCTCTCACACATCTCTGTGCTTTTTAGGAAAAGTCTTCAAAAGGTTCTTTTGGTCTGAATAAGCAAGTGCTGATTAGCAGGATTTGAAGTCCTGTAGAGCAGGGCGTTTAATGAAGACCACACACACTTGTGGAGGCACCCTGTTCATGCAGAGCGTAAAAATGTGGCAAAAAAAGCAAAGGCCGCATTTTCGATCTTTTCTTCACGATCCCTTTCTCACGCTGATGTTTTCTAGAATCTTATCTTACTCCAAAAAAAAAAAAGGAAAAAAGAAAAAAAAAGGAATTCTCATGATATTCCCCATCATGCTGAAACCAGTAAAAAAAACTGAAAGTAATAATTACAAAAATTGAGCGTTTTAACCAAGTTGTCATGTAGTAATTATGGTAACTGACAGGCTGGTTGGGACAAAATCTCACATCCAGTAGATAAATTTAGCATACAGTATTATACACACAAAAACTTGGGCTTTTTCTCAATTCCAAGAACGCAGAGAACGGACTTGTGTTCTTGTGAAGACCGCTCTTGCCAGGCTATCTTGGAAGAACAAAATCGGGAGACCAAGAGAACACAGAACGCATCCTGTGAGAAATGAGATGTTCTTCGTGATGGTCACGTGACCTTCACGCATTTTAACAGAAAATTATGCAAACATTACAGCACATACAGTACACAATATCTGTTTTTTTTCCATTTTCAATATATATAACACGCACAAAAACCTTACAAATATACTTTGCACAATACAAATAACACAGATTTTAATATTAATTTCAGCAAATAAACACCCTTAATGTGTACATTTTCATTCTCATTTAGGGAAAGTCCTGAGATAAATAAGTTATATCTCTGAACTTTAATAATAAATCTATATAAGATGCTGCGCTTCCCACCTCCTTTATTCAGTCGCAATGACTTTTGGGACTTCTAGAGCGAGTTTTGCTCTTAAATATGCATCCTCGATACCAAGAACACATCCGGTAACTATCATGCAGCCTCTGTTCTTGCGGTCTTGAGTTTTGGAACTGAATTTTGACGGTTGACACAAGAACACAAAGACACAAGATCACTGAAGAACGGGACCAGGGGCGGCCAAGCTGGAGTGCATATTCTGGTCCCGTGGGCTCTGCAATGATTGGGGAAATTCGAAATTGAACCAAAAAAAAAAAAAAAAAAACATTACAATTGGCTTATGATTGTCAATGTAGATTCGGGAATTGCAACCACCAGAAGCTGGGAATGAAAAAAAAAATCACTGAAGAATGTATATTGAGAAACAGCCTTGGTCTGTTTGCTCCTAGATTGCGCGTTCAAATCAAATCCTCTCATTATGTGTATCTGAAGCATAACAAATCTGAAACTTCTTTATTTTTTAAGTCATCAGCTCAGAAAACATGTTCCTGAATGCCTTCTCAGTTTTAAAAACTGTTTATTTCATTTGTTCTGTAACAGCAAACGCGGTACAGCCTCATTAGCGCCCACACGGCAGCCATGCTAATACACGCATTAGCGCCCACATTAGCAGGCACAGTGCCTTTCAACCTGTCACTCCATCAAACGCAGCACAGCTCACTCACGCTGCATGCTTTTTTAGAAACAAAAACCACGATTTGCTTTATTTATGATTCCAGCTGAGGGCATTCCCAGACGGACGTTTTTAATCATCTTTAGCTAACTTCGCTAACACTGTAGTAGATACTCACACGGCTTACCTGTTGCTCTATGTGCCTGTTTAATGATCAGTGTCTACATTGGTTGCTGAGTCCTCAAACCAGCCACAGTCTAATTTATTTATTTATTCCATCCAAGTATCAAGGATGGACTCTGCCGGGTCACTGGGTCGGACCCTCGCACTGTAAATGGGGAAAAATACAAAACAAATGAACTGTCGAATCAATGCGCTCCCTGGAGAACGCGCTCACACACTTTCTCTCTATCTCTTCTGTTTTCTCAATAAAGCTGAAACTGAAACCCTTAGAGGCCAATTTGTCTTAGTCTCTGTCTGCACATAATCGTGAAAATGTTGTCACTTGTTAAAGGGATCTTTTTAACACAGCTGTTCCAACTCATTTGGATAAGCTCCTAGTGTTTTAAGCCAAGACGATCTGTAGGAGAACATTAAATCTTTCTTGGGATCTTGCACTATGCTGAGCTTCTTATATAGGGGATTGGGTCAATTACAATGTTCCTTAAATTCTGTGGACTTAATGGGCATTATTCAAAATAAGCAGAGGCTGAAAGTGAACCCTCACCTTTGCAGAAACAAATTTGAATAAACAGCTTATTGTGCAGTTTGAAACCATTTATGTCTTTTGTTGATTAACTAGTAGACTTTGATTCCTGTAAAAATACCTTGCACTTAAAACCAAATAAAACATATGCATAGCAATAAGAATCATAAGAAAATTAAATGATTTTAGTTCCTTGGTGTTTCTTTTAATAATTTTAAGGTAAATTTGACCAAATAATTTTGATAATTTGTGCAAATGTAATGTAATGTGTATTTATATAGCACATTTATCGTGTATGGCCATACACCCAAAGTGCTTCAAAATTATGAAGGGGGTCTCTCCACACCACCAACAGTGTGCAGCATCCACTTAGATGATGCGACGGCAGCCACAAGACAACAGTACCAGTGCGCTCACCACACACCAGCTATAGGTGGAGTGGAGAGACTGTAATAGAGCCAGTTCGGTGGATGGGGATGATTGGGAGGCCATGATGGTTAAGGGCCAAGAGGGAATTTGGTCGGGGTTACACCCCTACTCTTTACGAGAAGTGCTATGGGATTTTTAATGACCACATAGAGTCAGGACCTCGATTTCTCGTCACATCCGAAAGATCACTGACAGTATAGTGTCCCCTTTACTATACTGGGGCATTAGGACTCAGACAGACCACAGGTTAAGCATCCCCTGCTGGCCTCACTAACACCACTTCCAACAGCAACCTAGCTTTCCATGTGGTCTCCCATCCAGGTACTGACCAGGCTCAGCTCTGCTTAGCTTAGTCTTGAGCTGCAGGGTGATAAGGCTGATATGGCTATGGTGCATTTAAACAGACACAACCTTCCACAACCTTAAACAACCTTCCAAAGATGGCATTAGATGAACTATTAGAAAGCCATTGGGAAACAATTCTGAATTATTTTATAAGCTACCATACTATATGTGATGAATACCTGAAATCCGGTCATTGGATTATAGGATAGTTGGCATAAATGTAAATACTGTAAAAGGCTGACATTATACTGTATACAAGGAATCATTTACAATGGGATGTTGCCAATTGGAAAGTGGGTGTCATTGCAATTAAACAGCTACCATTAACTATATAAATAACTGACCATGGCACCTATTTTACCCCTTTTTCAAGATTTAAGATGAGTATTTTTTGTCTCCAGAATGTTTTTGTAAAGTTTCAGCTTAAAACACCCATCAAATTATTTATTATAGCCCTTAGAACAGGGGTGTCCAAACTTGGTCCTGGAGGGCCGGTGTACTGGAGACTTTAGCTCCAACTTGCTTCAACACACCTGTCAGGAAGTTTCTGGTATATCTAGTAAGAGCTTGATTAGCTGGTTCAGGTGTGTTTGATTAGGGTTGGAGCTAAACTTTCTCGGACACCGGCCCTCCAGGACTGAGTTTGGACACCCTTGCTTTAGAACATTATAATTTTCTGCTCTTAACACTATGTAGCTGTTTTGTTGCTTGTGCCTTTAAAGCTAGTTCTCCCCACACACCATTCCCATGTGTCTGTGAGAGTGTGTCTCAATCTCTGCCTCGGCGGCGTCTGATAAACAGCACAGTGACAGACATGAAGAAAGCAGATCACGCCTAACGTTTGTGAGAAATACAACAGCAAAAACTTTCCCAATGATTATTTGATGTATTTGTTGTGGAGTTAAATCAAGCCTTTCAATGAGTCACACACAATGTCGTTACAAAGTTCACACACACAGCGCATGTTTAACTTTGCACTGTTTTTTTCATGTAAATGTGACAGGATACACGTTAATATCCACTGCTGTATGGATATCCGATATGTTAATGTACAAAAAAAAAACCCTGATTTAATGTCCACAATCTGTAATTGAAGCGTCTTCTTTTATAATTGTACTGACATGCGGCTGTGGGGATAAAGTAAAGACGATACATTTGATGCAATTCATTACAAACATGCACTGTTTTAAAATGTTTTAAACTTGTAAAACTCATTCGTGATTACATTTGATGATCACAGAGAGCTGCACAGATCTTTTAATACCGGTTGCTTTGTGCACGTTCTGTCTTGTTGATCTGATCAGGGTCTTTATATCACCCCGATATGACTGTGGACACACTATACCTACACATTATTCTGTCCAAACAGCTTGCAAAAGACGATTTTCATCATAGGTGCCCTTTAAGTTATTAGATATGTAACATACATGCGATTAACCATGTTAAATTTACTCTTTGTGTCCTGCTGTACATTCAGTAGAGGGGTTGCAGTGAATGGTCTTAAAAAAGTAGGTTTTTTTACTATATTTCATGGAAGAATGCATGTGAAAGAACTGCAAATGGAGTAAAACCATCATTAGGATCTGAAAGCTTTAAAGCCAGTTTTAGGTTGCAACAATGAGCCCATTTGTAGTGGAAATATTTGTCCAGTTACAGGCTTAAATGATTTCCTCTGAGGCACTTAGTGCGATTTTAAATCACACTGGACTGTGATCCACAATATGTTCCTTTCTAAGTGGCCATACTAAACAAACTAGATTTAATGCCTAGTGTCAGATGTTTAGAAAGGCTAGATTCTCCCCGACGTAATTATTAGCTACTATTTCAAAGAAGCCAGCCTCTTATGAAGGCCGCGTTTTTGAATCTCTGACAACACTGCTGACCTTCTGGTGCTGGCAGAGCCTCTCAGGACTTGTGGTGAGTCCAGATGTGTCTGAGTTTATCGGGAAGACCTTTGAAGATTTGATGACAGAGGAAACGCAAAAGCGTGCCAAGCTTTTGTGCCACATAGGTGCAACAGATCTGCGTAAAAAGCCTGCCAAAGAAATGTGTGTCACTCTACTGTGAAGAAAGATTTGTGCACAGCCTTTGCGCTTTGTCACTGGGGTGTCAAGAGCGAGACTGCAGCCAAAGACTATAACTTCTCATCAGAAATCCTGAGCTTTGGGGTTTTGTTTCTTGCTGAATAAGCAATTCCCATGCTACTTTGCTACCACACCTGCTATGGTCTCAACACCGAGCCCTGTGGTACACCCCTG